CCACCGCCGCCGGCCAACCAGCCAACCAGCTGGCCAACCAGCTCGCCGGCCGGCCCGGCCCGGCCGGCCGGGCCAACCGGCCTCGCCCGGCCCGGCCCGGCCCGGCCAACCGGCCCGGCCCGGCCCGGCCCGGTGGCCGAGCCCGTTGTCGAGCATCCTGAGCCGTACCCGTCGTTGCCCGGGCCGTGGCCGAGCACCAGGCCGCTGCCCTTGCCTATGGCCGAGTGTCCTAGACCGTGACCGAGCACCGCGCCGAGTCACCGAGCCGTGGCCGAGCCCCGCGCCCTCGCCCATGCAGATCCCAGCACTGTTCACCTGGGCCATTTTGGGCCCGTGTGGATTTTTCCCGGGCCAAATTTAGGTAAGTGACTTCTTAATTCCTATTTGGTATAATGGGTATTTTTAGACTTGTTTAGGGGTCAATTAGAATTGGTTTAGTGACTAAGTTAGGGAATGGATTAGTTGGTTAGAATGTGATTAGTACATGGATTATGTGGTAGGTGGCAGATTAAATTGTGGTGATTGCGTGGCTAATTATGGTGAGTTAAAGGACTGGATTGCCGTGGCGTGTGTGGGTGAAATTGACGTTTAATTGGGCCGACTTGAGTGCCGGATTTGTGGGCTAGTGTGATGGGCTTGTGATGTGATTTGGATTCGCACGACGTGTTGAATGGCGAGTTGTGATGTGATGAACATGCCTTGAGTTTGATTGGTACGACTTGTGAGAATGGCGAATTGTGTTGTGGTGCATGTGCATGAGAAAAGCCTGGATTGATCGGAGGGCTGCCAACCTAAGACGTGGTTACGCGGGTGTGGCAAGAAAGGCATGATCAGACCTGAGGCGTGGTTACGCGAGTCATTGGAAGGGGAAAAATGTCATGAGATGTAGTTACGCGGGACTGAGCCCGGCTTGATCTGAGAGTTGACCTGAGGCGTGTTGACGCGGGTTGTGTGAAACTGTGAAATGTCCAGTGAGGGAAGGAGCCCGGCTTGATCTGAGGGCTGACCTGAGGTGTGTTGACGCAGGTCGTGTGAAAGGACCTGGGAGGTCGTGAAAAGTTGCTCGGCCACGCATGCGAATTGAGTGTGGTTGAATTGATTGAATATGCGTTGTTATGGTGTTTGAGCGGTGATATTATGTTTTTGAATGGCAAAAGGACATTATAAGTGCCATAACTTGTGTACAGAGATCTCTTTGGTGCCATAACTTTTTTTCGGATCACTTTGGTGCCAAGTCGGAGGAAAAACGATCACTCAAGTGTCATAAGTTTTTTTTGGATCACTTCAGTGCTAAAATTTTTGAAAAACGATCACTTAAGTGCTAAAATTTTTTAAAAACGATCATTTAAGTGCTAAAATTTTTGAAAAACGATCACTTAAGTGCCAATCTCCGGCGAGCCACGTTAGCTTCAGAAATTAATAAAACAAATACCACGTCGGATTTCCGGCGAAAAATTGTGTACAGCACTGGAGTTGGCACTTAAGTGATCGTTTTTCAAAAATTTTAGCACTTAAGTGATCGTTTTTCAAAAATTTTAGCACTAAAGTGATCCAAAAAAAACTTATGGCACCAAAGTGAGCGCCGTACACAAGTTATGGCACTTGTAGTGTTTTTTTGCCGTTTTTGAATTATTATTGCATTATGGAGTTTAATTAATATGCAGAGTGGACGTGTGGTTTGAGCGAGGTAAGTATGATTATGTGAATTTTGTACGTTATTGGTTGGATTGCATGTTAGACTTGTCTGGGTACACATTGGCCTACGTGCGGTTTGGGTATTGCTTATTGAGACTTGTTCTCGCGGTTATTATATAATCATTTCATACCCCCGACCTTGAGGATGACCAGCGTGCCGCTACGTTTTGGGATCCCGGACCATATAGAGCGTTCGGTGATCGAGTACCCCGGTTGGAATGGGGAGGCTTATATTAGATTTTACATCATCGTATGGGTCGACGAGGGCGGGCCACAGCTGAAGGGCCATCCTTACCTTGGTTGGTGCTTTCGGGACCAAACCGACTTTTATGGACCCCTTAGGACTTTTGACGTTCCGATTGACGGGTTTGGTCAATGGGACCCGTAGGCAACTGATGGAGAGGTAGTGAGCCCTAATTCTGTGTCCAAGATGGATTCTAATCCACGACTCGTCATTATAGAGTCAGACGAGGAGATTATGGAGTGGGAGTCCGATCTCGATCCGGAGCCGATGGAGCTCGATTCAGAACCGGAGGAGGATCTCGTGGTGGTACCGGAGCCCGAGGGTGACCCCGAGGAGGAGCCGCTGGAGGTCGAGTCCGAGCTCGAGTCGATGGATTCCGAGTTCGAGTCGTCCGACGATTCATCTGAGTCTTCTGGATCCGATTCCAATTGGATACCACCTAGGGATTAGCTTAGAGCATAACTGGCGTTTAGGGCCGACACTTTTTGAAGGGAGCCCTTTTTAGATTTAGTAACTAACCGCCCCGAGCCACGAGTCCCTTTTTGATGATAGTGGCTTATTGACCCATTTTGGCCTATGTACGTTTCCGCCGCTAATGGATGTTGTAAATCTTCTTTTGATTAATATAGTTATGTGTTTATGTAGTGTGTTGTTACGTTTGTTATGCACATCTTCCGTTGCTATCTTGGTCATGTTTATTTGTGTATGAGAGTGTGATCATTTCCGCATGTGCATTTTCTCTGATCCGTTGTTTTGGGTCGGCGACGAGTCCTGGAACGTCATGTTAATTCAACCGAAGAGGAATATCGCGAGTTCAATGGGGTTCGGGCATGACAAGTAGTCCCAATCAGTCACATTTAGCTGCTGCAAAAAGGGTCTTGAGATACCTCAAAGGAACATTGTTCTTTGGTGTGAAGTTTAGGAAAGGCCAGAAGTTTAAGTTGCAGGGTTTTTCTGATAGTGACTGGGCTGGCTCAGTAGATGACATGAAGAGTACATCTGGGTACTGCTTCACTCTTGGTTCTGCTTGTTTCTCCTGGTGTTCCAAAAAGCAGGAGATTGTAGCTCAGTCCACTGCAGAAGCTGAGTTTATAGTAGCTACTGCATCTGCAAATCAAGCTTTGTGGCTGATCTGTGGTTGAATTCTGGTGATTGCATTGAAGTTTATGTGGACAATCAGGTTGCATTAGCAATTTCACATAATCCAGTTTTCCATGGCAAAACCAAGCATTTTAAGGCCAAATTCTTCTTTCTGCGTGAAGTGCAACAAAGTGGTGAAGTTAAGTTGGTCTATTGCAGATCAGAAGATCAGCTTGCAGACATGTTCACAAAGCCACTTCAAGCTGGAAGATTTGAGCTGTTAAGAGAGAAAATACGAGTTTGCAGCAGAAACTGATCCAAGGAGGAGTTTGTTGGAGCTGTGTCTTAGTGCTGCTGCTGATGTTCTGTCGTTTTAGCTTTCTTTTTGTTGTTATTCAGTCAAGTTTGTTTGTTAGGCGGTTGGTTTGTTAGCTATTTTCTAGGAAATGGAACAAGTTAGTTTTGCATGTTTGTGTGCGGTTCTAAAAAGGTTCCTATTTTGCTTGTACTTGACAGTTTTCAGCATTATGAAGTTAAAATGTTTTTTCATTCCAGCTCTCTCTCTGAAAAACTAGAAGTTTGTGTGAATTAGCTTACTATATCAGTAATAACACCTCGCCTCCGAAGCTCATGAACACATCATACTTCCATTGATGGATCGAAGCAGAAGACGAAATGTGTCACTCGATCTCTTCGATTCGCATCAGCACAATACGTGATTGAGTGAGAGACTGCTGAAAAGGTTGCAAAGGTAAAGTGTACATGTAAAGAGGAGGTGCAACTTGTGAATGAGAAGAGAGGATGAATGATGGCTCCGCCATCAGAACAGACTGCTTATTCAATTGAATGTTCAGACAAGTTGCGAGTGAAGTTGGTTTGGTTCAAAGAACTGAAGAAGCAACTTGCTCGCTCGAGGACAACTTGGTTTGAATTCGTCAAGCCAAGCTAAAAGAGCTTTGTTTCACGTGACAGAGACATGTCTGAAAACGCAGACATGGATTTGAAGCTTCAGCACATGCGTTGGTAGAAGAAGATGCTTCGAAACAGTAAATCTGTGGAGACGTAAGTGGAATCATTGTCCATGGCTGCATTCAAATATTAATCTTTTTTATTTCATCGAGAACTTCTAGTTGTGTGTTTCTCTCTTGAAAGCGAAGAAGACATGAGAGGGAGAGACAAGATGAGAAATGATTAGTTGATGAAAGACGCCCGACTGTTCTGACTGTTTGGACAGTTGGACTTGTCGAGGGAAAAAAAGAAAGAACAGAGGGACGTTTCTATGGTTTTCGTAAAAGTGTCGCTACGGACTGATCCCGTTTTCAATATGGACCTTCGTTGCTGTATATAAAAGGAAAGAGTGGTCCATCCAATCTGTTTTGCAAAACCTAATTTGTTATCAAACTTGTTTTCGATTAGGAAAAGTCATGATTGGTAAAGAATATTACTCACACATACCTTTATGAAGGGCAAGTTACGATCGATAAAATATTTCACTAATAATAACATAAATGAAGTTTACCCTTAATTTAGGTAAACTAAAACATCGACTGCATCGAAACATAAAGGTAAAGAAAAAAAATCAGAAAAAATAATTAAAAAATCTAAAAATATTATTAAAAATTATCCACATCAGTTTTGGCGATGTCACGTAGGCCGATCGGCATCTACGTCAATAATATCAAGCCAAAATTAGCCGAAAGGATTAAATTAGCATTATATCAAAAGGTTTATGACTAAATTGACACAAATACAATAGATTTAAAACTATTCTGATGCTTTTCCCTATGGAAATTTAGTCACACTCATCTTTACAATGTGCATACGATGAATTAAATATTATACTAATAATAGCACAAATGAAGTTTACTCTTAACTTAGGCATATATTATGATATTTGTGGAATATTACGAACCACAGAATTAGAGATTTTACGGCCTCTAAAGATAAATTATGCTCTCCAAAGAAATTTACGAGATGATAATTACATAGGCCAAAGGAAAACTTTTATTAGAAAGATGCTTATAAAAAAAATCCACTGAATTTGTAGAGAGGAACCTTTGTTTCCGATTAGTAGGGATTGGGAGAATCTGATAAGGTCATGACAACATCAGACCGACCTATACCCCTACATTTCTAAGAAGGTCCGTGATGATACATATTTATGTGTAAACTCAACCATCGACCGCATGGAAACATAAAGGTAAAGCTTAGCATGTCAAGGCTCAAAATGTGCTCCAAGTGAATCAATCAAGTATCTAGACCTCCCATGAAACCCGACTATCTTTTTACCGGTTGATGGAAAAGAAAAGTACTTCCCAACCTCTTCACCGAATGGCCCAAAAGTTCGTTCATTGCTTTGAAATGTGAGGGAGCGAACAACAATATCCCCGCTAAAAGATCCAGAGTAACCAGAAAATGAAGTCAAGTATTCTCGAGGATAATTGAGTTTAATCTGCAAAAGTAGAAAGACAAACATATTTAATCCCAGCCCCACAACTGTAAAATCTTAAAGACCAGCATAAACAGAACCCTCCGTTTGATAACTTGTATTTGGTTAGACAAACATGGTAATAGCTTAATAGATAATTCCGCTGCATCTATAGCATAAGACCTATTTTGGTCCACCACAATTGTAAAAAGAAAGGCAACTGCTTAAAAAATGGTTTGACAACACTTTGAGAATAGTTACTAGAATTAAGGAAAATTGTTCTCAGAATTAAGTCATAAAGTAAAAATACCTTTTAATATGTTTTTCCCCCCTTTTTTGGAGGCAGTACTTTTCTGAATGTATGGAGTTCTTTCATCGTAAATGGAACCGAGGAAGGTTGGAAAACCAAAAAGAAGTCCCTGTTCTACGATGATATTACATCATGCCCCTACAATGACTCTCTCATTCAAGATAATTTGTCAATCTAAACTCAAAATCCACGGACTGTTCTCATATCTTACTTTCACCTCTACCCTCTATTTAAAATACTTGCTCATGTGCATAAACGTGACCTCCAAACCACTTAAAACCAAACCTTAGCAACGACGCAGAAGTTCGACGTTCATAAGATTAAGTAAATGTCTAGAGTCCATACCTCGAGTGTTAGATGTCCTCCACCTCCACCATGTTTAGGGCCCTGAACCACAGACCCATTTTTGTCGTACTCGACAGTAATGGAGTCAATAGCCGATCCACCTTTTACAATTATTTTTCTCACACCCGTGCTATCTCCATCGTCCCATGGACTTCCCCCTTGTCCTCCAAATGGCCCAATGGATTTCAAGAGATGAAGATCAGAAATTGGTTCAGAGTAGACTCCCAGCGCATCAAGCTGGATGCCAGACCTTCCGTGAAAGCCAATTATCTTTCTGCACGTCAATGCACAACTAAAGAAGCTCCCTACTTCCTTGCCAAAGGGTCCATGCCTTCTTATATTGCTTTCGAACGTGAGTGATCGAATAATACCACGTCCCATATAGCCTGACACTGAGATCAAGAACTCACGAGGGTAATCCAACTTAACCTGCATAATTAGCAATTTAATTGTCATATTGATCTATATCAAAGATGATAGATAGACAGCAGTGGCCTAAGTCAACATCGCATCCACGTACAACCTAGAAGTTTAATCCTTAGACCCAAGAATTTCTTAAAACTAATGTATGGATACCTACTATTCTTACATCATACTTTTAGGGTTAATAATCGAAGAAATTTAAATGATCAAAAGATGACTTCAATCATTCAGTACATTTGGATGGTTTTCATTTCCCTTAAAGATGGTTTCCCCAACCCATACTCTATCATTGTACATCATGTATACAGGTTTCTATCACTCGCAGTTTACTTTGATAAAGCTTCTGAAGTTTATTAGAAAACTAACACTCGATCTAATGGTGGCGTAGGGTATTGGTAGGTGCCTAAGACTTTCACCGTACCTTACCGCACCGCATAAAAACATTCGTTCTAGCGTAGATATTAATGTCAATAATAAAAACTCTACCATTGTCATTTCGACACCTTCAATGTGCTTTACAGATAGAGGAATACATAAAGTGAACATTGTAAATAAGAAATTAAAAGATTTCGATGAAATTGTTTGTTTGAAAATTTCTTGAAAAGATAATCCTAGGTTCTTCTTTCCATCGGAACAATAGGGTTGTTATGCTTGTTACTGAACTTATCAAAGAAATGAAATATAACCAAGGTATATCTTATTTTTCTCAGAGGTTGGATTGATCATCAAAAGAAGGATCAGGCCAAAAATTAGGATACATTCTGGAAAATAAAACTTCCAATCAAAGAGAAGCAAATGGAAGGCTTTCCCAAAAGTTCTTGTAGAATCGATAAGGAGGTTTGTGCAGGCACGGGTGCGAGAGAGAGAGGATCAACCGTAATATGAATGGAAAATATGCAATGAACTCACCATATGGATATCTCCGTTGCCACTGTGACCATGTGTAGATGACCAAATAGACACACCATTACTGTCATACTCAAAGGAGATGCAGCAAACAACATCTTCCAACATCATCTTTATTTTCTTTACACCATTAAATTTTCCATCATCCCAAGGGTCTCCACCTTGGCCTCCAAATGGTCCAAGACACTTGATGGGGTGTAGATGAGAGATTGGTTCGAAATATGCTCCAAGAGATTCAAGATGGGAACCAGAACTCCCATAAAATCCAATGATCTTTCCCCCAGTGGCTGGAAATGAAAACTTCTTTCCGGTTTCAAAGCCAAATGGTCCGTATGTTCTTTTATTGCTTTGAAACGTGAGTGAATGGATGATAGTAGAGCCAAAATCACTCGTAATATAGCCCGAAACTGAAGTTAGATACTCAATTAACCAGTCCAGATTTATCTGCAATAATCATTAGAATGTACAAAATAGTCAATGCAACAACTTGAAAAACAAAAACATTATGCATGATAGTAACTAGCGCGTGACATGAGCGGAAAAAAGAGAGATGGTCTTGCCTAATTCACTATCATGTCATATATGTCATACAAAAAATAGATACATCATCGTTTATGTTGTGTAATTTCGAGATAACTCACCATTTGAGTTTCAAAAAATAACTCAATATTCAAATAAAGACATCCGAAAGGGACGGCTAATTATTCCAATTCGTCATTATGGAAACAACTCATGTACGCAAAGCAACATTCACAGGACACAGAAATCACCAATTTTCAAAAACAAATAAATCGGGATCGATGTTATATTTCCCGAATGAGCTATAATTACGGTGGTTCAACTTGGCCATGTTTTAAACGTTAGCGACTAATGATTTCTACTTGAGCATTATGTCTTCAGCACATGCCATTATAAGCTGCATGAATCAGAAATGAAAAGAGTAGCTTTTATCAAACACCCAGATCAACAGTTCACTACTCGAATAGCACCAGTACCTTGTTCGTTGTGCCTCCACCACCTGTACCATGTGCAAAAGAACGACCTTGCTCATAAGTAAAAGTAATCGACTCAATTGCTGAACCAGAAACAACATCAATTTGTCTGACATCTGTATGCTTGCCGTCATCCCATAGGCCTTCACAGTTCCTATTCCCAAATGGGCCTACAGCTTCAAAGGGATATGGACGAGAGATAGGTCCAAAATATGCTCCAATGGAATCAAGAGAAGAGCCACACCTCCCAAAGAATCCAATGATCTTCCCAGCAACCGGTGGGAAACTGAAAAACTTCCCTCTCTCCTTGCCAAATGGACCATATGTTCTCTCATTGCTGTGGAAGGTAAGTGAGTGAATCATGATAGGATTTGAATCTTCTTTAATGTAGCCTGACACTGAAGTTAGGAACTCATATGGATAAGCTAAGTTTACCTGCAGGCAGCAGCACAACATCACCTTCATCAAGAAACGAATCCTCCCAAAAAAAACGGACTTTAATACTTCTGAGGACTTAAAAAATACTTGAAGAGGAGTTCACCACACTATATTGGAGACATCATAGCCCAAACGGAAACTTTCATATACCCAACAACAAGACAAGAATATAAAACCAACAAAACTCATATTTTTCCCACAAAGGTCCAGATTTCCAGAGATCGTGAAGCATTGTGGAACTACCCCGTTGGATCCTTTTAAGCAATTTACCTTTGATATGGACTCTTATATTCTAATGACCAAACAATAGCTCATATTTTGATAGGGAGTTACATAGACGTAAATATTTATAAATAGCCAAAGCCTGCAATGCACATATCTGAAAAGCCCAAATACATGCTCACCGACTCACCGTGCATATTTTGCCTTCTGAAGGTCCACCATGTCTTGGCGAGCGGACTAAGCACCCATTCTGATCATACTCAATAGTAAAGGACTCGATCACTTCTGATCTCACAACAACTACAGTTATTTTTCTAACATCAGTGTATGTTTTATCATCATAAGAACCCCCGCCATGACCTCCACATGGCCCTACGGATTGAAAGGGAAGAACAGAGGAGAATGGTTCTAAAGGTAATCCAACTGAATCAAGATGAGGGTCTCTCACCAACTTCTCCAATATCTCATTCCACTGATTTTTTCTCTTCTTAGAAAGGAAGGAACCAAATCCTTTAAGAGCTAGTGGAAATCCACCCGTGTAGTGGACAAGCCTCTCTGACAACTCTTCATAGCCTTCTTTAGGGTGGTCTTTGCGGAAGGCATGGCGACTAAAGAGTTGGAGCGATTCTTTATGAGTCAATCCTGGGAGCATGTACTTGTTATCTACTTTGAGATCTTCCAGCAACTGCTCATCTCTTGTAGTTATCAAAATTCTACTCCCATGTTGGAACCATTCTTGATCTCCAGCACCGAAATGCTCAATTTGGTCCTTCTTAGTGATGTTATCAAGGACTAGAAGGATCCTTTTCCAGCGGAGCTTAGTTTTTATCTCATTGATGTTGCTGTTAAGATCGAACATTTCTAGACCTTGTAACTTCAGAACATCGTGGAGAAGTTTCTTCTGAAGAAGTAAAAGCGTATCTTGGTTTGCATCTCCGACATTTTCGAGTAAGCTAACACCTTCAAATTCCCTACAAACACGATCGCAGACGACTTTGGCCACCGTTGTCTTACCAATTCCGTTCATTCCCCATATTCCAACCACACGAACATCATCCTCTGACCCAATTTCCAGCGACGATATCACGTCCTCTACAAAGGAATCTAACCCAATAGCATTTTTGACAAAATAGGGGGAGATTGATCTAGGACTGATCCTGATGAGATTTCCTACGATTTGGTCGATGAAGTTTGATTGATCCCTGCAGTTACATGGGAAGAACAAGTCCAATATGAGTAAATATAGAATAGAGAGGCTATCAGCAGATGCGTGGTAAACCCATGAACTAAACTCAATCAACAGCATATTTCAAATCGACCACCAATCTGAGCTTTTTCGGGAGTGAACTTATTAAATGCATTACCCATTAGCGTCATTATTCAAATGCCATCCTGACAAATTACCAGCTTCTTTAAGCACATCCCTCCACTTCTGCACCAGTAAATCATCCTGGTGAGTGGCCAAACACCTTTCGAAACCAACCCCGAATCGCCCGCTCTGTTTCCGGACGTCCCCTGGCTCAACATCATAGAAAATGGGCAGAACCACATGACCCTGATGATCTCTGAAACTCCTGTTGCACTTCAGGATCTCCACCAGCTCGTTCAAGCACCACCGCGAGTCGGCATAGTTGGTGGTGAACACGACGAGGGCAACCCTAGAGTGGCGAATCGCGTTGAGAAGCTTGGGCTCGATGGAAATCCCAGTCTCCACTTTGTCATTGTCCCTGAAATAGTAGATCCCCGCCTGCCTCAGCGCGTGGAAGAGGTGGGCCGCGAAGGTCTTCCTTATGTCCTCGCCTCTGAAGCTCACGAACACGTCATACTTCCATTGGTGGATCGAAGCAGAAGACGAAATGCGTCGCTCGATCTCTTCGGTTGCCATCAGCACAATCCGTGATTGAGCGAGAGACTGCGGAAAGGGTTGCAACTCTTCCTCGCAGGTAAGGTGTATATGTAAAGAGGAGGCGCAAGTTGCCAATGAGAAAAGGGGATGAACAAAAGATCCGCCATCAGGATAGACTGCTTATTCAATTGAATGTTCAGGCAAGTTGCGGAGTGTGAGTCGCTTTGGTTCAAACAAACTGAAGAAGCAACTTGCTCGCTCGAGGACAATTTGGTTTGAATTCTTCGTCAACTCAAGCTTTGTATCACGTGACAGAAGAAGCTTCGTAGCACGTGCGTTGGTGGGGGAAGCTGCTTTGAATCAGTTAATTTGTGAAGACGTGGATGGAATCATTGTACATGTGTTTTCTTTCTTTTTTTTCTCTCTTGAAAGCAAGACATGGGAGGCAGAGACAGAGATAAGAAATGATTAGTTGATGGAAAAAAAAATCAACAGGTATCATATTATTAAATGATCAAATGTAGTAGGTACGATTGTCTCGTATATATATTCACTTTACACTTATCCAATATCATGTATGTCCTATTTTATTAACGCGAATGTATCATGCCCCATTTTTCTTTTTAATTTGACGCCACTATTTTTTCATTTTTTTTAAGAAATCATCATTCTTTATCGAGTAAAATTTACTCCAACATTGTATTTTACTACATCTTGTATGTGCTTGAACAAAAGTAATTTTATGTTATAATATTGATTCATATTGATAGTTATCTATATTCTCTCACATAACATAATGCATATAATATAATCCATTATACATTAATCGATTCTTTTTCCTTGATATGTCGTTTCGCATAGCATCGGTTTTGTTTTGCTACAAATTCTATTACAATCCCAAAACCAATTTTCATCAAATTTGTATTTTTTTTATTTCCACCACATGCAATGACATGCCTAATAAGTCAATTTTACTTATGTTTACGAGCATAATTAGTTTCTCATTCTCAGGGAGTTTACTTTCACAACTTATTACTAGATATAAATGATACTTATGATTTGATTTTTATAGAATAATATTCTCTTAAATTTTCTTGAGAAAAAAAGAAAATATTTCTCTCTTTCACTTGAAAGAACTTCAACTAGCATTTTTTTTTTAACATGGGTGTTGTTAAAAAAGATCCGCGATATTTTTCTCCAACTAGCATTTTTTTTTTTTGCCAGATGAGCTCCAACTAGCTTGCTTGATTGTTAGCCGCCCTCGTGTCTATTTTCCGTTCCTCATTTCTGGAAAAAAGAAAAATTAAACTCAACTTGATCATGCAGGTAACCTTGTCAGACAATAATTTTACCATTGGTGGGATGCATTTCGATGACCAAAAAAGTCAGTCAACTTAATTAGAGACGTGTTCATGGATGCTTTAAGGGAATCTGGACCCAGCAACTTGGATTTATTTGAGGTCGGCAAAAGAAAGATTGAATGGTGTGTCTACCGAAGATCGTACGTTCAACTTGGTAAAATGCAGAATCAAATGTAGAAAAACATGCACGAAAAATCGACAGAACTGAAACCAGAGCTGCAGAAAAGATGTTGACAATTGACTGTTGACTTTTAGGTAGGCGCCCGACGGGTTTGGTCAAGTTTGGTGGACAACTCGACGCCTTTTAATAATTCTTTCTAGTTAGTTCTTGTCTATTCCTCCCTCCCCCGAGCATAGAAAAACTTGTCTAGATTTGCACCCACGGACTTGGCCTATCATGCATTGTTTATATGAATCTTATATTTAGGGCCCACATGAGACCCAATCGTCGGGTCTAGCTCTCAAGGCATTTTACAATAAAAATTTACATCTTTTTAAAGAGAGAAATAACTACACCGTATATGTTCATGTTTACGCTCAATTTTTTCGCGCACAAATCTTAAAGCAGGTTACTCTAAACATGGAACTTGATATAAAAGGAAAAGACCAAATACCTGTTGACATTTAAATTTTTCCTATGGATGCATCATACATTTCACATTTTCAAAAAATATTTTTTCTTTCTACCACATAAAATGTCTTGCCTAATAAGTCAATTTTACTTATGTTTACAAGCATAATTATTTTCTCATTCTCATGAAGTTTGCTTTTACAACTTATTACTAGATATAAATGATACTTATGATTAAATTTTTCTAGAATACTTTTTCTCTTAAAGTTTTCTTGAGATAAAAGAAAAGATTTCTCCCTATTCTTGAGAGGAAAAAAAAAAGATTTCTCCCTATCACATGATTGTAGTACATGTTTTTTACTACGTATATAAAATATCATGAGATTTCTCCCTAACGGAAGGGCTTTTGTACCAATTTGATAATATTTAGATTTTATTGCACTTTTAAAAAGCACTAGAACTTGATTGCACTTTGCAACAAAGTTTTAGGATTACTGGTACACTTATGAAAAACTTAAGGAAAGAAATTTAAATAATCAAAAAGATATTGAATGGCTTTGATTTCCCTCTTAGATGCTTTCCACACCCCATACATTGTCATTGTACATTATGTATACGGGTCAAGAAATGTTAACGCAACAAGTCCGAGAAGCAAAAATGATAGATGACAATGACTATTGTATGATCCACTCTCTTGATGATTGAGATGATGATGCATGATGTGGAAAATAGTAGATTATCTTGCCTACTTCAACATCATATCAACATATATTAGAAGAAATATTAAAAAAAAAAAAACGACAATCCGCGAGCTTTTATTTTGCGAAAATCGACGATTTGAAAAATATGTTTCTAAAATTGATTGAGGGTATTGCTTACAAAAAGTATTTAACTAAAAGATTTTTTCATCATTAATGAAAATATTTAGAAATAAATTGTTATTGATAATGAAAATCCGTCGACTAATTGTTATAAGCGATACAAACAATTATTCTTATGAACATGTTTTCCATATCATTAATATGCCCTGAAACAAACGCACGACTGTTGCAAACAGTATGTCTTGGGCGAGTCTTTGTTGGTGCTCTTTGTCAGGGAAAAAACTCGTTGTTGGAACAACTATGCCCCGAGAGAATCACTAGATTTGGTCCTACGGATCAAAATCTATCTGCAGAAAGTCCATAGATGGAGAACAGTTGATTCACTCTCCCTGATCCACCGTTTTGAAATGCAAAACTAAAAAATTGTTCGATTTATGACGAATTTTTTTAAACAAATCTTTTTTTCTATAAAAACTTGCTTCCTGTCGATGGAGATTTGATTCACTATAATAAAAGCTTCAACAAGCTTTATTCTTAGAAGATACATCAAACCGACCTACTCACATCCCTAGATTTCTAATAATATCCGTGATGATACATACTTACGTGTAAACTCAAACATCGGCTACATTGTGCACATAAAGGTAGAGCTTAGCATGTTAAGGCTCAAAATGTGCTCCAAGTGAATCAACCCATGATCCAGACCTCCCATGAAACCCGACAATCTTTTTGCTGGTTGATGGAAAAGAAAAGTACTTCCCGATCTCTGTACCAAATGGCCCAAAAGTTCTTTCATTGCTCTGAAATGTGAGGGAGCGAACAACAATAGCCCCATAACAAAATCCAAAGCGACCAGAAAATGAAGTCAAGTATTCTCGAGGATAATCAAGTTCAATCTCCAAAATTAAAAAGGCAAACATATTTAATCCCAACCCCCCAACTATAGAATCTCAAAAATCAGCATAAACAAAACGCTCCGGTTGATAAGTTGTATTTGTTTAAACAAACAATGTAATAGCTAAATAGATAATTCCCCTGCATCTAGAGCATAAGACCTATTTTGGTCCGCTACAGTTATAAAATCATTCATCTATAAAATGAAAGGCAATTGCTTAAAAAATGCTCTGGCAACTCTTTGAGAACAGTTACTAAAATGGATAAGTGTATTGGAAGTTTTAAAACTTATCACAAAAATGCAATTAAGTTCTAAAACTTTTAAAAAGTGCAATTAAGTTTTAAAACTTATCACGAAAGTACAATTGAGTCCTAAAACTTTCAAAAAGTGCAATCAAATCTTAAAACTTGTCAAATTGGTTCAATCAAGTCCTTCCATTGGCTACACTTTTTGAAAATTTTAGGACTCAATTGCACTTTCGTGACAAATTTTAGGATTTGGTTACACTTTTTGAAAGTTTTAGGACTCAATTATACTTTCGTGATAAGTTTTAAGACTTTCAGTGCACTTATCCTGTTACTAAAATTATGGAAAATTGTTCTCAGACTTAAAATCATAAAGTAAAAATACCTTATTATATTCTTTTTTTTCCTTTTTCGGAGGCAGTACTTTTCTGAATGTGTGAAGTGCTTTCATCATAAATGAAACTGAGGAAGGTTGGAAAACCAAAGAGAAGTCCCTGTTCTATTGATGATATTGCATCATGCCCTGACAATGACTCTCTCAGAGGATAATTCTCATTCCATATCATTTGCCAATCTAAACTCGAAATCTATCGACTGTTCTCATATCGTACTTTCACCTCTACGCTCTATTTAGAATACTGTCACGCTCCTATGCATAAACGTGACCTCCAAACCACTTAAAACCAAACCTTAGCAACAACACAGAAGTTGCATGTTCATAAGATTAAGTAGGTGTCAAAGGGCCATACCTTGAGTTTTAGATGTCCTCCATCTCCACCATGTTTAGGGCCCTGAACCACAGACCCATTCCTGTCGTACTCAACAGTAATGGAGTCTAGCTGATCCACCTTTTACAATTATTTTTCTCACACCCGTGCTATGTCCATCGTCCCACTCCCATGGACTGCCACCTTGTCCTCCAAATGGCCCAATGGATTTCAAGAGATGAAGATCAGAAATTGGTTCAGAGTAGACTCCTAGCGCATCAAGTTGGACGCCAGACCTTCCGTGAAAGCCAATTATCTTGCTGCATGTCAATGCACAGCTAAAAAAGCTTCCTTCCACCTTACCAAAGGGTCCATGCCTTCCTCTCTGTCTTTCAAGATTAAGAAGTACTTTTATTCACATATGGAATCTAAATTTTTTACTTTTTTCTGTCCTTTTGACCTATTGTGCCATCTGCATGAACACTCTTTCAACGATACTATATGTGAGTTTACTTTAATCGCACGATGGGTTATTGCTTCTTGTAATGTGGAACATATATTTATTTCTACCCATCTCTTAATCGTAATGATCCAAATGCAAAAAATTTATGACCGAAGGAAACTTTTAAGAGTAATAGGGTACTTATTGTATAAATTTCACCATTAGAATATCCGCCATGCTCGAATGAATGCACCAAACATCCGTCTTGATCATAATCAATAGTGATGGAATGGATAACTGACTTAACAAGGACACTAATTTGCCTTCCATCATTATAAGCACCGCCACCTTGACCTCCATATGGCCTAACGAATTTAAATGGGACAGAGATGAGTGAACTATAAACTCCATCAACGCAATCAAGATAAGGGGGGAAAAGTGCTGAATAATTCCTGAACCTTTTGAAAAAGTGCCAATTTAGTTCTAAACCTATTTTTGGTGTCAATTTAGTCCTAAACTTTTTGATATAGTGCCAATTCAGTCCTTTTGACCGGATTTTACTGACGTGGATGTCGGCCGGCCGGCAACCGGTCACCAGAGCTGACGTGGACAAAATTTAATAATATTTTAATGTTTTTTTGAAGTTTTTTTTTTTTCTTTTCCCTCTTCCTCTAGCCGGTCACCGCTCCGGCGACCGGCCGGAGGCCATAGGCCGGCGAGGTCGACCTCGCCGGCCTCGGGCGAGCCACGCCGACCACTGGCAAGGCTCGCCCTCGCCGGCGACGACGAAGGCAAGCCTCGCCGGCAGCTGGGCGAGGACCGACCTCGCCAGATTCGGCGAGGGCGAGCCTCGCGCTGGGCTGGCAAGTCTTAATAACAAGGCTTTATTCATTTTTACCTGGGGCTTTTATTTTCCCATACTTTATTAACTTATTTAATTATGTTTCATGTACTGCTTTGATGGCAGGTTGTTTATCTTTACTGCTTGCACAGACCTGCATAATCGCCTTTCACATGTTAAAAGACTAAAAGTCTAGGATTATGAAGACCGCAAGTCAAACGTTTTCAAGAAACAGGTACCAAAAGAGCATTAGATTAATCTGGCGTAACGAAGCTCCCGAACTCATGAATCTCTAATTCGTAAAAGTTAGACGGACTCCTGCACCTTATTCAAATTTCTAAAACTCATAATAGGTTAATGGCAGCTCCCAAAAGAAAGAACAAAATTTCACAATTAACCGAATCAACTCAAATCGCCATCGTTAGGGTTTGGGAGAGCTCGGACCAAATGCGAGAAGCACCTCATAAGAGGAATCGTCCATGGTTACTTGGCAATCTGTTAACTCAACTCGAGGTCGCACACTTAATGTGTCCCATCTCGAGAGGGTCGGGACAATACCAGATGTAGATAAGGAGGTGTCCAAGAAGAGAAATAGAGTTAGCTGGGGCTTGAAGATGTGACGAACCAAACCAAGGGGCGCTCTATGTACGACATCTACTTCTCCAAAATTATGGGGCAATATGACAAAGACGGTCAAGCGATATGACAATGACCAATTACATACACTGGCATGTTCTAAGAATGATGGATGATGTACACTTGAAAGGAAGCACACCTGCAAGTATACCCAACACGCACAAGCGCAGGCACACATGGTTAGCTCTCAATAATAGTGTCCTATATGCACACCAAGCGAATCGAGATGCTTTCCAGACCTTCCATGAAATCCAACGATCTTTCCACCGGTTGAAGGAAATGAAAAGTACTTCCCTTTCTCGATACCGAATGGTCCATAAGTTCTTTCATTGCTCTGAAATGTGAGGGAACGAATCACAACAGATCCAAAATCATCTCTTATGTAACCAGAATACGAAGTCAAATACTCTCCAGGGTAATCAAGCGTAATCTGCGAAAATTGAAAGGGAGACATTTTAATCACAAGCTCTTCACCGTAGAATAGTAAAAATCACCACAAACAGAACCCCACTGATTAACCGAGTTAGACTAACAAGGCACAAGACCCGAATAGAACCTTTTAGTGTGTCTAATCTTGTTCATGAGTTTTTAACATTGAGACAACTTTGTTGTACGAGTTAACTCTAAGTTGCAAAATTCCAGGATAGTTTGATATTAAACCATATGTGGTCATTTGATCTACTTCTTGCACTCTCTGCATCACAAGTCCCATGTGAATGTCCATAATATGACCTTTAAAACCGCTTAAGACCTTAGTAGCAACTTAATATTAACTGATGTTACACGTGACAATATAAGAGCATGTAATTGAAAGATGGTCATACCTTGTAAGTCTCATCTCCTCCATTTCCACCATGTTTAGGGCTCTGGACTGTAGACCCATTGTTTTCATACTCAAAAGTAATGGAGTCAATTACGGATCCAGCGACTATGTTTATTTCTCTTACGTCTGTGTGGATACCATCATCCCAAGGGTCGCCACCTTGACCTCCAAAAGGCTCGATGGATTTGAAGGGACCAGAACAAGAAATTGGTTCTGAGTGAACTCCTATTGAATCAAGATGGCCACCTGATCTTCCATAAAAGCCAATTATCTTGCTACATATCAATGTACAGCAAAAGAACCCTCCTTTTTCCTCACCAAACGGTCCGTGCATTCTTATATTAGTTTGAAATGTCAGCGATCGAATGACAACCGAGCCAAAATCATGTCTGATATAACCCGAGACCGAGGTTAAGTATTCGTGTGGGTACTCCAAATCAACCTACAAAGTTTGCAATTAATGTGCTTCAATATGATAGGAAATTAAGTTGGACGGAGGAAACGAAAATAAGTAAATGCTAAAACTAATCATATTTAACCTAAGCTCCTCATTTCTTTTCCCTTTCAGGTTTTTCCTTTCATATTCAATCGTTGCAGCAAAGATGACGATATACACAGACTTGAAAGTCAATGAACTTTCTTTGGAGGTAGCAAAGTAAAAGAAAAGATTGGTAAGAAAGATATTCCTAATCCTAAAACTTGACAAACTCACCATATAAACTTCGCCTTTGCCACTTCTACCATGTGTGGAAGACCAAATGGACTCGCCATCTTTGTCATACTCAATGGCGATGTAGTTGACAACACTTTCCAACAGTATCTTTATTTTCTTCACGCCATTATATTTTCCATCATCCCAAGGCTGTCCACCTTGGCCTCCAAATGGCCCAATAGACTTAATTGGATAGAGATGAGATATTGGTTCTAAGTACGCTCCAATAGATTCCAAATAGGTACCAGAACTTCCATAAAATCCAATGATCTTCCCCCCAGTGGCTGGAAATGAAAAATACCTTCCCTTTTCGGTACCGAATGGTCCATATGTTCTTTTGTTGCTTTGAAATGTGAGTGAATTGATGATAGTAGAACCAAAATGACTAGTAATATAACCCGAGACTGAAGTTAGATATTCAATTAACCAGTCCAGACTTATCTGTAACAATCATTAAAATGTAATGAATAGTTAATGCAACAACTTGAAAAGCAAGAACATTATACATGACAGTAACTAGCAGGTGATACCAACTTCTAGATAGTTCAGCAGATATGCATGAGTTGATAAAAATAGATGATCTTGGCAACTTCCACTATCATGTCGTATATCTCATACAAAAAGTATATATTCGTCCAACAGAGTGGCGCCTGAGATATCATTGGTACTCTTGTGTGATTTCGAGATTGACTCATCATTTGTATTTCAGAAAAATGACTCATTACTCGAATAAAGACATGCAAGAGAGACTGTTAGTTATTCCAATAAGTCATTATGGAAAAAACTCATATGCGCAAAGAAACATTCTCGTAAATCAACGATTTCCAAAACCAAATAAATCGTGATCGAGATTTTTTTCAATTTTAATATGTTGTAGCACCCTCTGTAAAGATTAATAATTTCTATTTACATATCATGTCTTTAGCAAATGCCATATTAAGCCGCATGAATCAGAAATAAAGAGTATCTTTTATCTAGCACCAAGATCAAGTTCATCACTCTAATAGCACCGGTACCTTGTTTGTTGTGCCTCCACCACTTGTACCGTGTGCAAAAGAACGACCTCGCTCATAAGTAATCGTAATCGACTCAATTGCAGAACCAGAAATGACGTCAATTTGTCGAACATCTGTATGCTTGCCGTCATCCCATAGGCCTTCACAATTACTATTTCCAAATGGGCCTAAATCTTCAAAGGGATATGGAAGAGAGATCGGTCCAAAATATGCCCCAATGGAATCGATAGAACTGCCACACCTCCCAAAGAATCCGACGATCTTCCCATCAGTCGGTGAGAACCTGAAATAGTTCCCTCTCTCATTGCCAAATGGACCATATGTTCTCTTATTGCTGTGGAAGATAAGTGAGTGAATGATGACAGGACTTGAATCTTCTTTAATGTAGCCTGACACTGAAGTTAAGAACTCATTTGGATAATCTAAGTTTACCTGCAGGCAGAAGCACAAATCTAGTATCCATCACCTTTAAGAAATGAACACTACCAAAACCAAGGATATTTTGTACTTTTTTGAGGACTTAGAAAGTACTTGAAGAGGATATTGCTTGAGTACTTGCACTCTTTCTCTTAACATAGAAAATCAATCGTATTTTCTCACTAAATTCTTATCGAAATCATTCAACTCCATCTTAGAGCCCTGATTATTTGCATATACAGATGGAATTCACGACACTCTACATTGGAGACATCAGAGCACAAACGAAATCTTTCATAAATCCAACAACAAGACAAGTATATAAAACCAACAAAACTCATATTCTTTCTCCACAAACGTCCAGATTTTGGGAGATCATGAAGCATTGTGGAACTACCCCGTGGAATCCTTTTAAGCAATTTACCATTGATATGGACTCTTATTTTCTAATGATCAAACAATAGCTCATATTTTGATAGGGAGTAACATAAGTAGACATAAAAATTTACAAATAGGCAAAGCCTGCAACGCACATATCTGAAAAGCCCAAATACATGTCATAGCATACCATAATGATGAACTCACCGTGCATATTTTGCCTTCCGAAGGTCCACCATGTCTTGGTGAGCGGACCAAACACCCATTCAGATCATACTCAATATAAAAGGACTTAATCACTGATGTTACAACTACAGTTATTTTTCTAACATCAGTGTATGTTTTATCATCATAAGAACGCCCACCATGACCTCCGTATGGCCCGACTGACTGAAAGGGAAGAACAGAGGAGAATGGTTCTAAAGGTAATCCAACTGAGTCAAGATGAGGGTCTCTCACCAACTTCTCCAATATCTCATGCCACTGATTTTTTCTCTTCTTAGAAAGGAAGGAACCAAATCTTTTAAGAGCTATTGGAAGTCCACCCGTGTAGTGGACAAGCCTCTCTGACAACTCTTCATAACCTTCTTTAGGGTGGTCTTTGCAGAAGGCATGGCGACTCAAGAGTTGGAGCGATTCTTTATGAGTCAATCCTGGGAGCATGTACTTGTTATCTACTTTCAGATCTTCCAGCAACTGCTCATCTCTTGTAGTTATCAAAATTCTACTCCCATGCCGGAACCATTCTCGATCTCCAGCACTGAAATACTCAATTTGGTCCTTCTTAGTGATGTTATCGAGAACTAGAAGGATCCTTTTTCGGCAGAGCTTAGTTTTTATCTCGTTGATGTTGCTGTTAAGATCAAACATTTCTAGATTTTGTACCTTAAGAACATCGTGGAGAAGTTTCTTCTGAAGAAGTAAAAGTGTATCTTGGTTTGCATCTCCGACATTTTCGAGTAGGCTAACACCTTCAAATTCCCTAAAAACGTGATCACTAACGATTTTGGCCACCGTTGTCTTACCAATTCCTTTCATTCCCCATATTCCAACCACACGGACATCATCCTCTGACCCAATTTCCAGCAACGATATCACGTCATCTACAAAGGAATCTACCCCAATAGGATTTTTGACAAAATAGGGGGAGATTCGTCTAGGACTGATCCTGACGAGATGTCCTACGATTTGCTCGATGAAGTTTGATTGATCCCTGCAGTTGCATAGGAAGAACAAGTCCAATATGAGTAACTACATCATAGAGAGGCTATCAACAGATGAACAGCAAAACCATGAACTAAACTCAATCAACAGCATATTTCAAATCGACCACTAATATGAGCTTTTTCGGTAGTGAACTTATTAAATGAATTACCCATTAGCGTCATTATTCAAATGCCATCCTGACAAATTCCCAGCTTCTTTAAGTGCATCCCTCCACTTCTGCACCAGCAAATCGTCCGTGTGGGTGGCCAAACACCTTCCGAAACCATCCCCAAATCGCCCGCTCTGTTTCCGAACGTCCCCTGGCTCAACATCATAGAAAATGGGTAGAACCACGTGACCCTGATGATCTCTGAACCTCCTGTTGCACTCCAGGATCTCCACCAGCTCGTTTAAGCACCACCGCGAGTCGGCGTAGTTGGTGGTGAACACGACGAGGGCAACCCTAGAGTGGCGAATCGCGTCGAGCAGCTTGGGCTCGATGAAAATCCCGGTCTCCACTTTGTCATTGTCCCTGAAATAGTAGATCCCAGCCTGCCTCAGCGCGTGGAAGAGGTGGGCCGCGAAGGTCTTCCTTATGTCCTCGCCTCTGAAGCTCACGAACACATCATACTTCCATTGGGGGACCGAAGCAGAAGACGAAATGCGTCGCTCGATCTCTTCGGTTGCCATCAGCACAATCCGTGATTGAGCGAGGGGCCGCGGAACAGGTTGCAACTCTTCCTCGCAGGTAAGGTGTAGATGTAAAGAGGAGGCGCAAGTTGCGAATGGGAAGAGGGGATGAACAAAAGCTCCGCCATCGGGACTGACTGCTTGGTCAACTGAATGTTCAGGCAAGTCGCGGAGTGCGGTCGCTTTGGTTCAAAGAACTGAAGAAGCAACTCGCTCGCTCGAGGACAATTTGGTTTGAATTCTTCGTCAACTCAAGCTAAAAGAGCTTTGTATCACGTGACAGAAGAAGCTTCATAGCACGTGCGTTGGTGGGAGAAGCTGCTTTGAATCAGTTAATTTGTGAAGACGTGGATGGAATCGTTGTACGTGTAATTTTCTTCTTCTTCTTTTTTCACTTGAGAGCGAAGACATGAGAGGCAGAGACAGAGATAAGAAATGATTAGTTGATGGAAAAAAAATCAATTTGTATCTTATTATTAAATGATCAAATGTTGTAGGTTCGATTGTCTCGTATATAAATTCACTTTACACTTATCAAATATCATGTATGTCCTATTTTATTAACGTGGATATATCATGCCCCATTTTTCTTTTTAATTTGACGCCACTATTTTGTCATTTTTTAAAAGTAAAATCATCATTCTTTATTGAGTAAAATTTACTCTAACATCGTATTTTACTACATCTTGTATATGCTCAAACTAAAGTAATTTTATGTTATAATGTTGATTTATGTTGATAGTTATCTATATTCTCTCACATAACATAATGCGTATAGTATAATCCAGTATACCATAATTTATTTTTTTCATTGATATATTGTTTCACATAGCGTCGGTTTTGTTTTGCTACAAATTCTATTACAATCCACAAATCAATTTTCCTCTGATTTGTATTTTTTTTATTTGTACCACATAAAATGCGGTGCCTAATTAAGTCAATTTTACTTATGTTTACTTTTTCTTTAACATGGATGTTCTTAAAAAAAGATCTGCGATACTTTTCTCCAACTAGCAATTTTTTTTTTTTGCCAGATGATCTCCAACTAACTTGCTTGATTATTAGCCGTTCCCGTGACTATTATCTGTCCCTCATTTCTGGAAAAAAGAAAAATTAAACTCAATTTGATCATGCAGGTAACCTTGTCAGACAATAATTTTACCATCGGTGGGATGCACTTCGTTGACCGAAAAAGTCAGTCAACTTAATTAGAGACATGTTCATAATTCCTGTAAGGGAATCTGGGCCTGCAACTTGGATTTATTTGACATCTGCAAAAGAAAATAAGATTGAATGGTATGTCTACCGAAGATCGTACATTCAACTTGATAAAATTCAGAATCAAATATAGAAATATATGCACGAAAATCGACAGAACTGAAACCAAAGCTGCAGCAAAGATGTTGACAGCTGACTGTTGACTTTTGGGAACGCGCCATGCGGGTTTCGTGGACGAACTCGACGCCTTTTAATATTTCTTTCTAGTTAGTTCTTTTTTGTTATGTCGTTTTTTGTTCAGACTTCGTGGGCAGAACTGGATGCGACCCATCGGCCACTGGACATTTCTTTTGTTAGGGCGCTGGCTAATGGTCCTGGGATACAGTGCAAGATACTCAAATCGTTGTAGATGTTCTCTTAAAACCATACTGACATTTAGCAGAAAATGTGAGTGAATTTGAAATGATCAAGGGTCACGGAATCTGAATACGAAAAATTAAAACAAGCATATTGTCGCTGTCCGACCCGAGAGAGAAAATAAAGCCAAACAAGTCACTTATTCCTCCCTCTAGGTGCATAAAAAAACCTTGTCTGGATTCGCACCGACAGATTCGGCCTATCTCGCATCGTTTATGTAAACCTTATTTAGGGCCCACATGAGACCCAATTGCCGGGTCTAGCTCCCGAGGCATTCTACAATGCAAATCTATGACTTTGTAGAGAAAAAAGTAACTACACCATATATGTTCATATTTACGCTCAACTTTTTCGCACACAAATTTTAGCATAAGTTACTCCAAGCATGGAACTTGATATAAAAAGAAAAGACCAAATACCTATTGACATCGAAATTTTTCCTATAGATCCATCATACATTTCACATTTTCAAAAATTATGTTTTCTTTCTACCACATAAAATGTCTTGCCTGATAAGTCAAATTTACTTGTGTTTACAAGCATAATTATTTTCTCATTCTTGTGGAGTTTACTTTTACAACTTATTACTAGATATAAATGATACTTGTGATTTAATTTTTCTACAATACTTTTTCCCTTAAAGTTTTCTTGAGAGAAAAGAAAAGATTTCTCCCTATTCTTGAGAGAAAATTTTTTTTTATCCCTATCACATGATTTCTCCCTAATGGAGGGGCTTTCGTATCACATTTGACAATATTTAGACTTGACTGCACTTTTAAAAAGTACTAAAACTCAATTGCACTTTGCAATAAAATTTTAGCATTATTGGTGCACTTATAAAAAATTTAAGGAAAGAAATTTAAATAATCAAAAAGACATTGAATGGCTTTGGTTTCCCTCTGAGATACTTTCCACACCCCATACATTGTCATTGTACATTATGAATACGGGTCAAGAAATGTTAATGCAACAAGTCTGAGAAGCAAAATGGATAGATGACAATGACTAGTGTATGATCCACTCTCTTGATGATTGAGATGATGATGCATGATCCGGAGAATAGTAGATTATCTTGCCTACTTCAACATCGTATCAACATATATTAGATGAAATTAAAAAAAATGACAATCCGCAAGCTTTTATTTTGCAAAAAATCGACGATTTGGAAAATATGTTTCTAAAATTGATTGAGGGTATCGCTTACAAAAATGATTTCACTAAAAGATTTTCATCATCAATGAAAATATTTAGAAATAGATTGTTATTGATAATGAAAATCCATCGACTAATTTTTATAAGCGATACAAATAATTATTCTTATGAATATGTTAACATGCCCTCAAACAAACGAACGAGTGTTGCAAACAGTATGTCTTGGGCGAATCCTTGTTTTTTTTTTTTGATGACCCACGGAACCCCCGCACGGCCGACAGCCGGGAGGTAAACCCTGGGGGCGACACGTGCTAGCCACCACACACGTGCACCTGGTTAAGTCACCCTGCGGCACCCGGGATTCGAACACTCAACCTTTTACGAGAGGAAGAGTGCGCGCTCCAGCAGCGCCACCCAGGCGGGTGGTGTCCTTGTTAGTGCTCTTTGTCAGGAAAAAAACTCATTGTTGGAACAACTATGCCCGGAGAGAATGACTAGATGACCAAAATCTATCTGAAGAAAGTCCATAGATGGAGAACAGTTGATTCACTCTCCCTTATCCACCGTTTTAAAATGCAAAACTTAAAAAGTGTTCGATTTATGACGAATTTTTTAAACAAATCTTTTTTCTATAAAAAATTGCTTCCTGTCGATGGAGATTTGATTCACTATAATAAATGCTTTAACACACTTTATTCTTAGAGGATACATCAAACTTACCTATTCACATCCCTAGATTTCTAAGAATGTCCGTGATGATACATATTTACATACTCAAACATCGACTGCATGTCAAGGCTCAAAATGTGCTCCAAGTGAATCAATCCAACATTCAGACCTCCCATGAAACCCGGCGATCTTTTTACCGGTTGATGGAAAAGAAAAGTACTTCCCGGTCTCTCTACCGAATGGCCCAAAAGTTCTTTCATTGCTCTGAAATGAGAGGGAGCGAACAACAATACGCCCGCGAAAACATCCAGAGTGTCCAGAAAATGAAGTCAAGTACTCTCGAGGATAATCGAGTTTAATCTGCAAAATTAGAAAGACAAACATATTAATCCCAACCCCCCAACTATAGAATCTCGAAAATCAGCATAAACAGAACACTCTGGTTGATAAGTTGTATTTGGTTAAACAAACAATGTAATAGCTAAATAGATAATTCTGCTGCATCTAGAGCACATGACCTATTTTGGTCTGCCACAGTTATCAAATCATTCGTCTATAAAACGAAAGGCAATTGCTTAAAAAATGCTCTGGCAACTCTTTGAGAACAGTTACTAAAATTAAGGAAAATTGTTCTTAGACTTAAAAATCATATAGTAAAATTACTTTATACTATTCTTTTTTTTTCCTTTTTCGGAGGCAGTACTTTTCTATGATGATATTCCATCATGCCCCGACAATGACTTTCTCAGAGGATAATTCTCATTCCAGATCATTTGCCAATCTAAACTCAAAATCTACGGACTGTTCTCATATCTTACTTTCACCTCTACACTCTATTTAGAATACTGTCACACTCCTGTGCATAAACATGACCTCCAAACCACATAAAACCAAAACCTAGCAACAGCACAGAAGTTGCACGTTCATAAGATCATGAAGTAAATGTCTAGAGGCCATACCTCGAGTGTTAGAGATCCTCCGTCTCCCCCATGTTTAGGGCCCTGAACCACAGACCCATTCTTGTCGTATTCAACAGTAATGGAGTCAATAACTAATCCACCTTTTACAGTTATTTTTCTCACACCCATGCTATCTCCATCGTCCCATGGACCGCCACATTATCCTCCAAATGGCCCAATGGATTTCAATAGATGAAGATCAGAAATTGGTTCAGAGTAGACTCCTAGCGCATCAAGTTGGACGTACGTCAGACCTTCCGTGGAAGCCAATTATCTGGCTGCATGTCAATCCACAGCTAAAGAAGCTTCCTTCCTCCTTACCAAAGGGTCCATGCCTTCTTACGTTGCTTTCGAACGTGAGTGATTGAATAACAGAATTATCATGTCTAATATAACCTGACATGGAGGTCAAGAATTTACGAGGGTAGTCCAAGTTAACCTGCAGAATTAGCAATTTAACCGTCATATTGATCTATATCAAAGATGATAGATAGCCTGCAGTGGCCTAAGCAAACATGGCATTCACGAACAACCTAGAAGTTTAATTCTTAGACCCAAGAATTTCTTAAAACTAATGTATGGATGGACTACTATTCTTGCATCATACTTTTAGGGGAAAAGTGTCAAAAAAGTCATAAACCTTTTGTATTGGTGCCAATTTAGTTCTAAACCTTTTTTTTTTGTGCCAATTCAATACTAAACCTTTTGCATTTGTGCCAATTCAGTCCTAAACCTTTTGCATTAGTGCCAATTTAGTCCTAAACCTTTTTTTGATGTCAATTCAGTCCTAAACCTTTTGCATTGATACCAATTCAGTCCTTTGACACGTGAAGAGCTATTAGCCGAAAGGACTGAATTGGCATCAATGCAAAAGATTTAGGACTGAATTGGCATCAATGCAAAAGGTTTAGGACTGAATTGGCATCAATGCAAAAGGTTTAGGACTGAATTGGCACCAAAAAAAGGTTTAGGACTGAATTAACACTAAAAAAAGATTTAGGACTAAATTGGCATAAATGCAAAAAGTTTAGGATTTTTTAACACTTTTCTCATACTTTTAAAGTCAACAATCGAAGATGATAGACCATTGGGTTCTCTGGTGCACTTTGCCGATTCATTTTCTTTAGCATTAGAAAAACTTATCATACTAGATCACTCTCATTGAGTCCATCTCGCATAAAGCATATCGATTGACCTTTGTGTAATGTACAAAACAAAAATTACAGGAAGAAATTTAAATGATCAAAAGACAACTTCAATCATTCAGTACATTTGGATGGTTTTCATTTCCCTCTAGGAAGCTTTCCACAACCCATACTTTATGATTATACATCATGTATACAGGTTACTATCACTCGCAATTTACTTTGATAAAGGTTCTCAAGTTTATTAGAAAACTAATACTCGATCTAATGGTGGCGTAGGGCGGTGGTAGGTGCCTATGACCCTCACCATACCTTACCGCACCGCATAAAAATATTCCTTCTAGAGTAGCTATTAATATCAATAAGAAAACTCTATTATAGTTTACGGATAGAGGATTACATAAAGTGAATGTAGAAAATAAGAAATTGAAAGATTTCGTTGAAATTGTTCGTTTGCAAATTTCCTGAAAAGATGATCATAGGCTCTTCTTTCCATTGGAACAATAGGGCTTTTATGCTTGTTACTAAACTTATTGAAGAGACGAAATATAACCAAGGCATATCTTTTTTTTGTTAGAGGTTGGATCGATCATCAAAAGAAGGATTAGGCAAAAAATTAGGATACATTCTGGAAAATAAAACTTCCATTCAAAGAGAAGCTAATGAAAGGCTTTCCCAAAAGTTCTCGTAGAATCGATAAGGAGGTTTGTGCATGCACGGGCGTGCGTGAGAGAGAGGATCAACCGTAATATGAATGGAAAATATGCAATGAACTCACCATATGGATATCTCCGTTGCCACTGTGACCATGTGTAGAGGACCAAATAGACTCGCCATTATCATCATACTCAAAGTAGATGCAGCTGACAACATCTTCTAGCATCATCTTTATTTTCTTTACACCAGTAAATTTTCCATCGTCCTGACAGTGTCCACCTCGGCCTCCAAATGGTCCAATAAACTCGATCGGATATAGATGAGAGATTGGTTCGAAATATGCTCCAAGAGATTCAAGATGGGAATCAGAACTCCCATAAAATCCAATGATCTTTCCCCCAGTGGCTGGAAATGAAAACTTCCTTCCAGTTTCAGTGCCGAATGGTCCGTATGTTCTTTTATTGCTTTGAAACGTGAGTGAATGGATGATAGTCGAGCCAAAATCACTTGTAATATAGCCCGACACTGAAGTGAGGTACTCAATTGACCAGCCCAGATTTATCTGTAACAATCATTAGAATGTGAGGAATAGTTAATGCAACAACTTGAAAAACAAAAACATTACGCATGGTAGTAATTTGCACTATCATGTCGTATATCTCATACAAAAAGCAAAAATCATTATTCTAAATAGTAGTTAAATGTGCATGAGTGGAAAAAGAAGAAGAAGATGATCTTGCCAAATTCACTATCATGTCGTATATCTCGTACAAAAAGTATATACTCTTTGAGTTGCACATGAGATATCATTGGTAATATTGTGTAATTTCGAAATTAACTCATCACTTGTGTTTCATAAAATAACTCATTAGAATAAAGACATCCGAGAATCACAATTAATTATTCCAATAAGTCATTATGGAAGCAACTCATTTAGGCAAAGCAACATTCACAAGCACACATAAATCACCGATCTTGAAACACAAATAAATTGTGATCGAATAATTTTTCACTTTCATTATGTTACACATCCCACTGTTATATTTCCCGGATGAGTTATAATTATGGTGGTTCAACTTGGCCATGTTTTAAACATTAGCGACTAATGATTTCTATCTACGCATTATGTCTTCAGGACATGCCATTATGAGCTGCACGAATCAGAAATAAAAGGAGTAGCTTTCATCTAACACCGAGAGCAACAATTCATTACTCAAATAGCACCGGTACCTTGTTCGTTGTGCCTCCACCACTTGTACCATGTGCAAAAGAATGACCTTGCTCGTAAGTAATAGTAATCGACTCAATTGCAGAACTAGAAACAACATCAATTTGTCTGACATCTGTATGCTTGCCGTCATCCCACTGGTCTTCACAATTCCTATTTCCAAATGGGCCTACGACTTCGAAGGGATATGCACGAGTGATCGGTAAAAGATATGCTCCAATGGAATCAAGAGAACAGCCACACCTCCCAAAAAATCCGATGATCTTACCAGCAACCGGTGGGAAACTGAAAAATTTCCCGCTCTCATTGCCAAATGGACCATATGTTCTCCTATTGCTGTGGAAGGTAAGTGATTGAATGACGGCATATCCACATTCGTCTTTAATGTAGCCTGACACAGAAGTCAAGAACTCATTTGGATAATCTAATTTTACCTGCAGGCAGCAGCACAAATCTAGTTTCCATCACCTTCAAGAAATGAATATTCCCAAAACTAATGATATTTGATTATTTTGAGGACTTAAAAAAGTACTTCAACAGGGATATTGCACGAGCACTTGCAATCCTTCTCTCAAAATCAATTTGTTAGTCTCACTAAACGTATATTGCAATCATTCGACTCCATCTTAAAACCCTGATTTTTGCATAAACAGATGGAGTTCAAAGCAAAATCAAAATCTTTGATAAATCCTACATCAAGACAAGTATATAAAAACAACAAAACTCTTTCTTTTCTTTTTTCTGTACAAACGTCGAGAATTTGGGAGATCATGAAGCATTGTGGACCAACCCCGTTGAATCCTTTTAAGCAATTTACCTTTGATATAGACTCTTATTTTCTATTGACCAAACAATAACTCATAATTTGATGGGGAGTAGCATAAGTAGACATATATATATATATATAGGCAAAGGTCCACCATGTCTTGGCATAAATATTTACAAATATATGCCATAACATACCACAACAATGGACTCACCGTGCATATTTTGCCTTCCTCAGGTCCACCGTGTCTTGGCGAGCGGACCAAAGACCCATTCTGATCAAACTCAATACAAAAGGACTCAATCACTGACGTTACAACTACAGTAATATTTCTAATATCGGTGAATGTGTTATCATCATAAGAACACCCACCACAACCTCCATATGGCCCGACGGATTGAAAGGGAAGAACAGAGGAGAATGGTTCTAAAGGTAATCCAACTGAATCAAGATGAGGGTCTCTCACCAACTTCTCCAATATCTCATGCCACTGTTTTTTTCTCTTCTTAGAGATGAAGGAACCAAATTTTTTAAGAGCTATTGGAAGTCCACCAGTGTAGTGGACAAGACTCTCTGACAACTCTCTATAGCCTTCTTCAGGATGGTCTTTGCAGAAGGCATGGCGACTCAAGAGTTGGAGCGATTCTTTACGAGTCAATCCTGGGAGCATGTACTTGTTATCTACTTTGAGATCTTCCAGCAACTGCTCATCTCTTGGAGTTATCAAAATTCTACTCCCATATTGGAACCATTCTCGATCTCCAGCTCCGAAATACTCAATTTGGTCCTTCTTAGTGATGTTATCGAGAACTACAAGGATCTTTTTCCGACAGAGCTTAGTTTTTATCTTGTTGATGTTGCTGTTAATATCAAACATTTCTAGACCTTGTACCTTCAGAACATCGTGGAGCAGTCTCTTCTGAAGAAGTGAAAGAGTATCTTGGTTTGCACCTCCAACATTTTCGAGTAAGCTAACGCCTTCAAATTCCCTAAAAACACGATCACGGACAACTTTGGCCACCGTTGTCTTACCAATTCCTTTCATTCCCCATATTCCAACCACACGGACATCATCCTTTGACCCAATTTCCAGCAACGATATCACATCCTCTACAAAGGAATCTACCCCAATAGCATTTTTGACAAAATAGGGGGAGATTGATCTAGGACTGACCCTGAAGAGATGTCCTACAATTTGCTCAATGAAGTTTGATTGATCCCTGTAGTTGCATAGGAAGAACAAGTCGGATATGAGCAACTACATCATAGAGAGGCTATCAGCAGATGAGCAGCAAACGCATGAACTAAACTCAATCAATATCATATTTTAAAT